AGACTATAGACTAGACTATAGACTAGACTATAGACTGGACTATAGACTAGACTATAGACTAGACTATAGAGCAGACTATAGACTAGACTATAGACTAGACTATAGACAAGACTATAGACCAGACTATAGACTAGACTATAGACTAGACTATAGAGTAGACTATAGACTAGACTATAGACCAGACTATAGACTAGACTAATAGACTAGACTATAGACTAGACTAATAGACTAGACTACTATAGACTAGACTATAGACTAGACTATAGACTAGACTATAGACTAGACTATAGACTAGACTATAGACTAGACTATAGACTAGACTATAGACTAGACTATAGACGGGACAAAGACTTGACTATAGACTAGACTATAGACCAGACTATAGACTAGACTATAGACTAGACTAGACTAGACTAGACTATAGACTAGACTATAGACTAGACTATAGACTAGACTATAGACTAGACTATAGACTAGACTATAGACTAGACTATAGACTAGACTATAGACTAGACTATAGACTAGACTATAGACTAGACTATAGACTAGACTATAGACTAGACTATAGACTAGACTATAGACTAGACTATAGACTAGACTATAGACTAGACTATAGACTAGACTATAGACTAGACTATAGACTAGACTATAGACTAGACTATAGACTAGACTATAGACTAGACTATAGACTAGACTATAGACTAGACTATAGACTAGACTATAGACTAGACTATAGACTAGACTATAGACTAGACTATAGACTAGACTATAGACTAGACTATAGACTAGACTATAGACTAGACTATAGACTAGACTATATACTCGACTATAGACTTAATTATAGACTAGACTATTGACAATATTATAGACTAGACTATATACTAGATAATAGACTTGACTGTAGACTAGACTATAGACTAGACTATAGACAAGACTATAGACTTGATTATAGACTACACTATAGACTAGACTTTAGACTAGAATGTAGACTAGACTAAAGACTATAAATTAGAAATAATTTGAGTTGGAAAAAACCTCCAGAAATCTTTAAACACTGTTTAAATATCTCCAAATTTCCGGCTAAAACGCATTTCGTGAAATTATACGGGATAAACGTCAAATTGCCAACACTGTTTCTCTGTTCAGTAAATGTTCAAAGGTTATATTGCTTTTGATTTTTTTGTAATTTAAATTTCAAAATTTACTTAATGTTTATAAAACTTTAGACACATCTTGCAAATCACAGCTAAGCGAAAATGTCAAATCTTTTTTTAGAAAGGAACTCTTTATTGGGTTTTCCCTAAATCTAAATCTAGTTCGATAAATTCGTAATCATTAAATCTTTATTTTCTCAGTAATTTTTTGGGGAATTTTGTTATTTTAAAAGTTCTATATAAAAAAAAAACAAATAAACTGCAAAGTGCAACGTCCCATTCATGAGTATTAGCAAAACTTCAAAATATATCTCAAGTGTTGAAATAACCATAGATATTATTATGATAATATTAAAAAAACCATAGCAAAACAAAAACAATAAATAGAAAATAAAAAAAGAAATAAGAAAAAATACCAAAAATAAAACGTGCTTCATTGTTAATGCTCTCCAAGTACCAATAAACGTACAAAGAATTCTTAAACACCCAATTCTGAAATAATAAAGGCAAAAATGTCTTCTTACATAATTTCAAAATAATAACAAAAAAACTTATCTTTAAGTAGCAAAAACGCAGAACATCCTATTTGGAGAGAAAGAAAAAAAATATCAATCAAATTTGCAATTTCAAAATCGAAGAAATTTTTGCTATATAAGTTAAGCGACTCTAGCTCATCAGTGTCATACATTCTTTTAGCATTTCCTAAAGAATACCGCGCAATATCAACCTTAAGTCAAAATGTTCAAATTATTCGTTGTCTGCTTTTTGGCTTTGTTCGCCGTTGCTTTCGGTGCTGCTAAGCCCGCTTTCTTTGCTGCTGCTCCCGTTGCCTATAGTGCTCCTTTGGCTTATACTGCCGGTGTTCCTGCTGTTCCTGCCGCTTATACTGCTGGTTATGTTGCTCCCTATGCTAGCACCTACAATGCCTACACTGTTGCCCATACCGCTGCCTACCCTGCTGCTTATGCTGCCGCCCCCGTAGTCGCTGCTGCTCCAGCTGTCTACCATGCTGCTCCTGTTGTAGCCGCTCCTGCTGCTCGCGTTGTTGCCGCCCCAGCTGTAGCTTTGTTGAAGAAGAAGAAGTAAAGGATTTATGGATTAAAAGGAACTATGATCGGACTAAATTAAAAGAGTGAAATGTAAATAATTTGAAAAAAACGAAAGAAAAAATAAATTAGAAAGCTGTATGTGTTTAAGAAAATAATTTTTGTGTTTTTTTGTATATTTAGTGGTTCCTTGTATTTGTATTCTCTGTAGTAATCGTGTGTGGTCCCAAAATAATAAGAATCTTTACACCTGTTTAAGTAGATATATAGCATATAACATAACATTTTACTAAAACACCATTTACGAAAAAGTTAACAAATCATAAAACTTATAGAGATTTTAGATTAAGACTATAGACTAGACTATAGAGCAGACTATAGACTAGAATATAGACTAGACTATAGACTAGACTATAGACTAGACTAGACTAATAGACTAGACTATAGACTAGACTATAGACTAGACTATAGACTAGACTATAGACTAGACTATAGACTAGACTATAGACTAGACTATAGACTAGACTATAGACTAGACTATAGACTAGACTATAGACTAGACTATAGACTAGACTATAGACTAGACTATAGACTAGACTATAGACTAGACTATAGACTAGACTATAGACTAGACTATAGACTAGACTATAGACTAGACTATAGACTAGACTATAGACTAGACTATAGACTAGATAGACTATAGACTAGACTATAGACTAGACTATAGACTAGACTAGATAGACTAGACTAGACTATAGACTAGACTATAGACTAGACTATAGACTAGACTATAGACTAGACTATAGACTAGACTATAGACTAGACTATAGACTAGACTATAGACTAGACTATAGACTAGACTATAGACCTAGACTATAGACTAGACTATAGACTAGACTATAGACTAGACTATAGACTAGACTATAGACTAGACTATAGACTAGACTATAGACTAGACTATAGACTAGACTATAGACTAGACTATAGACTAGACTATAGACTAGACTATAGACTAGACTATAGACTAGACTATAGACTAGACTATAGACTAGACTATAGACTAGACTATAGACTAGACTATAGACTAGACTATATACTAGACTATAGACTAGACTATAGACTAGACTATAGACTAGACTATATACTAGACTATAGACTAGACTATAGACTAGACTATAGACTAGACTATAGACTAGACTGTAGACTAGACTATAGACTAGACTATAGACTAGACTATAGACTAGACTATAGACTAGACTATAGACTAGACTATAGACTAGACTATAGACTAGACTATAGACTAGACTATAGACTAGACTATAGACTAGACTATAGACTAGACTATAGACTAGACTATAGACTAGACTATAGACTAGACTATAGACTAGACTATAGACTAGACTATAGACTAGACTATAGACTAGACTATAGACTAGACTATAGACTAGACTATAGACTAGACTATAGACTAGACTATAGACTAGACTATAGACTAGACTATAGACTAGACTATAGACTAGACTATAGACTAGACTAGACTATAGACTAGACTATAGACTAGACTATAGACTAGACTATAGACTAGACTATAGACTAGACTAGACTAGACTATAGACTAGACTATAGACTAGACTATAGACTAGACTATAGACTAGACTATAGACTAGACTATAGACTAGACTATAGACTAGACTATAGACTAGACTATAGACTAGACTATAGACTAGACTATAGACTAGACTATAGACTAGACTATAGACTAGACTATAGACTAGACTATAGACTAGACTATAGACTAGACTATAGACTCGACTATAGACTAGACTATAGACTAGACTATAGACTAGACTATAGACTAGACTATAGACTAGACTATAGACTAGACTATAGACTAGACTATAGACTAGACTATAGACTAGACTATAGACTAGACTATAGACTAGACTATAGACTAGACTTAGACTATAGACTAGACTATAGACTAGACTATAGACTAGACTATAGACTAGACTATAGACTAGACTATAGACTAGACTATAGACTAGACTATAGACTAGACTATAGACTAGACTATAGACTATAACTATAGACTATAGAACTAGACTATAGACTAGACTATAGACTAGACTAGACTATAGACTAGACTATAGACTAGACTATAGACTAGACTATAGACTAGACTATAGACCAGACTATAGACTAGACTATAGACTAGACTATAGACTAGACTATAGACTGGACTATAGACTAGACTATAGACTAGACTATAGACTAGACTATAGACTAGTCTATAGACTAGACTATAGACTAGACTAGTCTATATACTAGCTCATAATGAATGGGTTCCACCATTATTAGTATATTAGAGATGAGTTGTTCTGCCGTGGTAATATCGATACAGAAGACAAAGATCGCTCAGGTCAGCCAAAAAAGTTCGAGAAACAAGATTTAGAGAATATCTTTATAAAAATGGTTTCTATTTAACAAGATCTTACAAAATCAGAATTGCTGCTATGATTGCTATAAACGGAAACCAGTCATTACTAGCGATAAAAAATTGTGATCTGTTAATCTTAACGTGATTTAACGCTAAAATAATGCTTTGTATTTAGTTTGATCAAAAGTGTTCTATCTATTATTAGCCGTTGAGATCTGGTCAAATCTGGATTCGGTTAAAACGTTGCCTATAATAACTTTATGGAAATAAGTTGATCTGATTTTTCCAATTTCTGAATAAAATTACATACTTTTTTATAAAAAACTTCATTATATTTAAATGTTTAAATTTCTTTGTAAAACTAAAAATATATCCAAACTCAATAGAGTTCAACATAAACAAAAATTGTAAGACAATCAATTGTAAAATAATTTACAAAAGTTGTTTCCGGTTCCATTAAAAAATTGCGCAAGTCCTTTAGACAGTCCTTCTTTCCTTAAGCTATAAGCTACTGATCTTTATGATTCCACAACTTAACGTACATAAGCAGCGGCAGCATAAGGATAGGCAGAGTAACCAGCGGTGTAAGGATAGGCACCGTAAGTGGCAGCAGCTACTGGAGCAGAGTAGGCAGTGTAGGGAGAGTAAGCGGAGTAGGCAGAGTAGGCGTAGGGAGAAGCAACTACGGCGGGGTTAGCCATGGCGCAGGCGAAGATAGCGAGCAAGCAGACAATGAACTGTAAAAGAAGGAGAATTAACATTTATTAGTATAAAAATAATATTTAGGTAATTCATAGTGAATCCTTTTAATTTATGTGAAATTATAAAACTTTAACCTAACTTTTAAGGCAATTTAGAAAATTTGTTATTAACTCATTCAAGCTTTTTGAAAGCAATTAACAATTAAAATTTTTATAAATTGTATGTATACGTGAGCTTTGAACAGATCTACAAAGCTTAAAATTAGAACTTTAACTTTTAAGCACAATTTATTAAGACTTTAGGAAGTTTCTTTTTAAACTTTTTAGTTTTCTTATAAAATTTGTTATTCTTGATTTTTTAATCACTTACGAATTTGAACATTTTTGAAGTTGTTTGGTAGTTTTCTAAAGTTTTAGGTAAACTGATGATGTTCCATTATAAATCACAAGCTTTTATACAAAATAAATAAATGCCAAAAATAGTAAAATCTTTTGAATTATACTAGAGTCATTAGATAGACTAATTGATACAATAACAATCAAAGGGTAGAACTATTTAAATTTTTACTAAATTTATATTTTAATTAAAATTAAATTAGTAATGCAAACCAGGTTCTTGAAAACTTTACTTTGTTATTGTTTCTAATTTTTTTTGCGTACTTAGCTTAATATAATTTTGTTGTTTTAAAGTAATGATGCTTATCGATAACAAAATCGATAAAGTAAAAAAATTTAAATAATTTTCGTATATGTTAGGTTCTTGAATTGTTAAAAATTGTTTGGTCAAAAAAACTCATTTTAAAAATTAATTTTTGTTTTTTTTTTTTTGCTTAAAAACAAATATAATAAAAACATTACAAACTACTAACAAAAAATAAATTATTTGCATTATAATTACCCAGGAAAGAAGTTTCCAAATAAAAACATTATCAGAATCAGAAGCAATTTTATCATTTATGGAAGTTATGTCTTGACTATAGATCAGTCTATAGTCTAGACTATAGATCTGTCTATAGACAAGACTATATATTAGTCTATAGTCTTGACTATAGATCAGTCTATAGTCTTGATTATAGATCAATCAATAGTCTAGACTATAGATAAGTCTATAGTCTTGACTATAAATCAGTCTATAGTCTTGACTATAGGTCAGTCGACAGTCTTGACTATAGGTCAGTCTATAGTCTTGGCTATAGGTCGGTCTATAGTCTTGAATATAAATCAGTCTATAGTCTTGACTATAGATCAGTCTATAGTGTTGGCTATAGATCAGTCTAAAGTATTGACTATAAATCAGTTTATAGTATTTACTATATTTTAGCCTTGACAACTGATTAGTCTATAGTACTATAGATCAGTCTAGACTGTAGATCAGTCTATAGTCCAGATTATACATCAGTCTATAGTCTAGACCATAGATTAGTCTACAGTCTATACTATAGATCAGTCTATAGTCTTGACTATAAATCACTTATAGTCTTGACTATAGATCAGTCTATAGTATTGACTATAAATCAGTCTATAGATCAGTCCATAGTATTGACTACAAATCAGTTTTTAGTACTTACTATATATAAGCCTTGACAATTGATTAGTCTATAGTCTTTACTATAGATCAATCTATAGACTATAGATCTTTCTATAGTCTTGACTATTGATCAGTCTATAGTCTAGACTATAAATCAATCTACAGTCTAGGCTATAGATCAGCCTTTAGTCTTGCCTATAGATCAGTCCGTAGTATTGACTACTGACCAGTTAATAGTATTGACTATATACTAACCTTAATAATTGATTAGTCTATAGTCTGTACTATGGATCAATTTATATACTTGACTATGGACTACAATCTTGACTACATATGACTATAGATCAGTTTTGAATATAGATTATTCTATAGCCTTTGCTATAGAACAGGCTATATTCTTTATTAGAAATCAGTCTACACTATAGATCCGTCTAGACTATAGATCAGTCTATAGTCTAGACTATAGGTCAGTCTGACTGACATATAGTCTAGACTATAGGTCAGTCTATAGTCTAGACTATAGATCGGTCTATAGTCAAGACTATAGACTGACCTATAGTCAAGATCAGCTTGATCTATAGTCTAGACTATAGATCAAGCTATAGTCTAGATTATAGATCAGTCTATAGTCTAGACTATAGATTAGTCTACAGTCTAGACTATAGATCAGTCTATAGTCTTGACTATAGGTCAGTCTATAAGTAGTCTTGACTATTAATCATTTTATAGTCTTGACTATAAATCAGTTTATAGTCTTGACTATAAATCAGTTTATAGTCTTGACTATAGATCAGTCTATAGTCTTGACTATAGATCAGTCTATAGTCTTGACTATAGATCAGTCTATAGTCTTGACTATAGATCAGTCTAAAGTCTTGACTATAGATCAGTCTAAAGTCTTGACTACAAATCAGTTTATAGAATTTACTATATATTAGCCTTGACAATTGAGTAGTCTGTAGTCTTGACTATTGATAGTCTTGTCTATAGATCATAGTCTTGTCTATAGATCATAGTCTTGTCTATAGATCATAAAACAGGCTATATTATTTACTAGAAATTAGTCTACTAGATCAGCCTATATTATTGATTATAATTAGTGTACCTGTAGTAAACACTAGCTATAATCTTGATTATAAATCGATCTATAGCTTTAGATCCGTTAATGGTTTGTTGTCTTCAGTCTTGACTATATAGTCAATAAACAGTCATAATTATAGATCAATCTATAGTTCACAGTCTTGGGTTCTGTGTATCGATTAAGTAGTCTATCTATATGAATATACGTAGATTAATTACAGAAAAGTCTATAGTTATGACTATACATCAATCTGTAGAATTAACTAGAGATTAGTTGTTAGTCTGAAAAATCCGTCAGTTCTGACTATAGACCAGTCAAGACTTTAATCAATGGTTTTGACTATAAATTACTCCAAGCCATATACTGGTTTGGCTATATACTTATACATACATATATAGTCTGGTAGTTCACTTTATAGTCTTGACTATAGAGCAATCCGAATCCCTAAATCTTATGTCATATAAGGCAACACTCCGGCATAGACTAGGTATAGCCCATATAGAGATAAAATTACATACAAAAATAACATCCAATAGAGTGAAATATTCGACTTTTAGAAAAGCCTGTTGCATAAATAGGAAACTTAAGAATTATTTAACCAAAGTTTGGTTTCGTCAAAGTTTCCTGATGAAGGTTAGGTTTGATTAGGTCAATTTGCACTTGTTTCTTAATATTGCCTCAAAATAAAATATTTTCGTTATAATTTTTTTTTTTTTATTTGCAAATATGCATTTTTTATTTATTATATAAAATTTCATTCTGAATATATAAATTTATATGTAAAACCTAAATATATTTGAACTCAATAGAGTTCAACACAAACAAAAATTATAAGACAGCCAATTGTAAAAAAAAATTAACGAAAATTATCTCCTATACCATTAAAACGTTGCATAAGTCCTTTAGCCAGTTAAAGAGTAATGTTGTTGTGCCATTAAAAGATCCTTAAAAGTTGTTCTACAACTTAACGTACATAAGCAGCGGCAGCATAAGGATAGGCAGAGTAGCCAGCGGTGTAAGGATAAGCACCATAGGTAGCAGCAACGGGAGCAGAGTAGGCAGTGTAGGGAGAGTAAGCGGAGTAGGCAGAGTAGGCGTAGGGAGCAGCAACAACGGCGGGAGTGGCCATGGCGCAGGCGAAGATGGCGAACAAGCAGACAAGGAACTGTAGAAGAGTGGAGAAGGAATTTTTATTAATGTTTGAGGAAAAGTTTGGCACTTTTGAAAGCTTTTAACACTTTGTTTTGGTAAACTTTAATAAACTTAAGTTGGTTTTAGCTTAAAGCTTTGTTAAGCTTTAGAGAATTTTAACACATTTTAAATTTTAAGCTCAACTTGTTGAAGATGCTTTTTTACAATTTTTTTTTTATTTTTCTTATATATTTTGTTATCCTGTATTATTCCTAGTTTTAGACACTTACGAATTTGAACATTTTGAAGTTGTTTGGGGTTTGATTGGTAGTTTTCTAAAGTTCTAGGTAAACTGATGATGTTCCCTTAAAAGTCACAAGCTTTTATACAAAACCAATTTTTAACCAAAAATAGTAAAAATTTCTAGAATTCTGTTTAAGCCATAAACAAAAGGGTAGAACTATGCAAAAGTCCAATGAATTTATGTTTTACTTAAAATTAATAATGCAAACCAGGTTCTTGAAAACTTTACTTTTATTATTTTGATTTTTTTTCCCTCAACTTTTTGCGTTCTTCATTCAACATAAATTTGTTGCTGTTTATCGATAAAACAAAATCGATAAACAAAATTTAAATAATTTCCATATAAGTAAAGGTTCTTGAATTGTAAAAAATTTTCTAGTAAAAAAAAATAACAAAAATATTTTCAAAATAAATTAATTTGTTTGTTTTTATTTGGCTTAAAAACAATCATAATAAAAAAAGAACAAAAACATAAATTATAACGAATTGTAGGGTAGTAAAGTGAAATGAAGTACGAGTACGAGGAACCATTAAAATGATTAATTTGTCAACACTTTTCTTATTAAAATGTATCTGTGAAAACATATCAATGTAGTAGATAGGTATGTACGTGTTGTTGCTGCTGTAAAGGCCGTTTATTGTTTTACCGTGTGTATAAATAAAAACAAATCAGACCAAAAACAGTAACAACAACATTAAAATCATCACATACTTAATAACAATAACAATCACAATAATATTTTAATTTTTTGTTTTCTGTAATTTTGTTATAACTCTCTATATATTCGCTCGTATTCATATACATACTCACCAAGTTGTGGTCTGCATATTAATTTTTACGAACAGCCACAACAACAAAAAAGGAACCAAAGCAGGGTTAGGAAAATATAGGAAATGATTTTGTTAAGGCTGTAACAAAAAAAGTTTGGGAACTGCTGTATAAAACTATATAAGGAATTTGTTTGCATATTCTAAAATTGGTTAAATTATGTTTAGGTTTAGTATAAACTGAACTTGGCCTACAACTATTTAAAACGTTTGCTTAGTAGTAACAAATTAAAGGTGGGTCAATGAACGAAGGTCGTTTAATAAGTTGTGACAAATATTATAGGTACATTTATAGTTTCATTTAAGGCAAATTTATTGCTATATATTTGGTATAGTGACGCTGAGTTAGAACTTCCTTAAAATATCGGTCAATGAACGGGTGTTTCGAATTTTTGAAATTCCACGTCATTCTTTAAATTTGACACATTACCTTTTTGGTAAAAAGGAGTTTTTTTCTAAGGAAACAAGGTTTTTTTAATGACAATGGTTTTTCTTCGTATGAAGAGTGAATAAATTATCAAGTGATAAAAGCTCTTTGTAGTGAATAGGACTTTGTTTGGTAAAAAGAGCTTGTTTATAAAAAAAAAATCTTGTTTGTGAAAAATATATTTTTTAGTAAACCAAATTATATTAACTTTCTTCAATATTGAACTTAGAAACATAAAATTTAACATTATTTAATTTTGACACAAGATTTTCTTATTGAAAAAGCTTTTTGTAGAGATTTTCTAAAGAAAAATGCTTTTTTGATGAAAAATCTTTTTCTAATGAAAAAAACTTTTCCCTAATTAAAAATCTTTTTCTAATGAAAAAAACTTTTCCCTAATTAAAAAGCTTTTTCTGTGAACTTTTTTTTATGAAAAAAGCTTTTTCTATGAAAAACTTTTTCTTAAACTTTTTCTTTAAACTTTTCCTTAACAAAAAAGCTTTTTCTAACGAAACATTTTTTCTAATGAAAAAAGTTTTTTGTAACAAAAAAATAGAAAAAGTTTCTAATGAAAATAGCATTTTCTATTGAATGAAGCTTTTTTATTGAAAAGAAAATAAATTTTTATTGACAAAAAAAGTTTTTGCTAAAGATAACAGCATTTTCTAATAAAAAAGGCATTTTTCTATCGAAAGAGCTTTTTTAATAAAAAAACATTGTCTTATGAAAAAATAATTTTCTTATAAAAAAACTTATCCTAAAGAATTCTTTTCTAATTAAAACATTTTTCTAACGATATGATTTTTTCTAAGAAAAAAAGCTTTTACTGAGAAAAAAAATTTCTTAATAAAAAAAGCTTTTTCTGATGAAAAACACTTTTGCAAATGAAAAAAATATTTTTCTTATAAAAAACAAAACTTTTATTAAGGCAGAAAGCTTTTTCTAGTTAAGCAAATTTTTTTAATAAAACAAAGCTTTTTCTAATGAAGCAAGTTTTTTCTAATAAAAAGCTTTTTCTAACGAAACATGAAAAATAAAACTTTTCTCAAAGAAGAAAGCTTTTTCTAATTAAGCAAGTTTTTTTAAAAAAAAAAACTTTCCTAAAGAACAAAGCTTTTTCCAATGAATCAAGTTTTTTCTATTGAAAAGGCTTTTTCTAGTGAAATATGAAAAACAAACCCCTTCTTAAAGAAGAAAGCTTCTTCTAATTAATCGAGTTTTTTTTTATAAAAAAAAAAACTTTCCTAAAGATCAAAGCTTTTTCTAATGAAGCAAGTTTTTTCTATTGAAAAGGAAAGAAAAACGATTTTTTTCTAATAAAAGCTTTTTCTAATAAAAAAACTTTTCTATTGATGAAAAAGAATTATTCTAAGAAA